CCGATTTCATTGCTCCGATTGGTTGAAAAGTAATCCTCAATCGTCAATTACAATCGCCAATCGCTAGTGTGATTACGGCTTTACGAACTGTGGAAAAAAAAGCACCGGTAGACGCGATATTCAATCTTGGTATTGAAGGACGGCGTCTTCAAGAACCAAACCGCAGAAACATTTGCAGAGTCTTTCCAATTGAAGGCTCGTGCAACGCAAATGTTGGACAAACTTTCTAGGAAAATCTGTCCTAACCTGCGACATTTTGTGGTATTCTCTTCTGTTTCCTGCGGCAGAGGAAATGCTGGGCAGACTAATTATGGCATGGCCAACTCCATCATGGAAAGAATTTGCGAGAAGAGAGCGGGAGAAGGATTACCAGGATTGGCGATTCAATGGGGAGCTGTGGGTGATGTGGGTCTTGTCGCCGACATGCAGGAGGACGATAAGGAACTAATTATCGGAGGCACTCTACAGCAAAAGATATCCTATTGTCTCGATGAGCTCGATAAGTTTCTACTTCAAAGTCGGCCCATTGTGAGCAGCATAGTTGTAGCTGAAAAAAAATGAGATGTCATGGAAATCTGATAGAAACAGTCGCTAATATTTTAAGTATGTGCTCTTGTGGAGACTTATTCTTTCGCAAATACTTATTATAATTGTTTGCTAGTCCGGTTTACAAGAAAGCATTATACTATAGATCGTAATAATTTAACATTTTATATTGTAGACATAAGTGACATAAAGCTTGTAAGTCCAAATTCATCTCTGGCTGAACTTGGAATGGACTCCATGATGGCCGTAGAAATCAAGCAAATTCTGGAACGAGAATTTGATACATTTGTCACAGCACAAGAGATACGAAATCTCACTTTCGCAAAACTCATTAAGATGTCCGTTGTAATCATCAATGACAATGATGTGGATAATGAAAAGAAATTGGGCAAAGAGAAGACAGACGTTATAAAATTTTTTGTTGGCATTACATTAAAAGATGAAGATTTTGTTTCTCCAATTGAATTTTTGACTAATAAACAGAACACTATGACTGAAATACTTCTTATTCCGGGTATCGATGGATGTAGTACTATATTTAAAACCATAATACCATATATTAAATTTTCAACATCATTGTTGCATTATAACACAAACAACACGGGTTGTACAAACATGATAATGGAGACTACTAATCGTTTCACAAATGTATGCAATCATATTACTAATTTCATTTTACGTTGATGAAGTATTGTTTGCATTTAAAAGATATAAATTTCATCGAATACTTTGGATATTTTTACAGCACATACTTTCGAAGCTAACAGACGGAAAAGATTTTATAATAGTAGGGTATTCCTTCGGATCTCTTATTGCAATTGAAGTAACAAGAAAATTAGAAGCTATGAATTTTAAAGGCCGACTTGT